ATGCTTTGGAAACGAACAGGCAGATATATTGGCTGGCTCCGCACCAGTGAGTAGTGAAGTGATGCTGAAATAGCGTCAAGGCCCTTTGTAAGCAAATGAACACTAGGGAATCACACATCGATCATAACTGTCTACAGATAGTAGGGCAGCGCGGAGAGGGGATCTGGACGTTTAGAGGGAAGGCAAAACAGACACACAATCACATTGCTGCTGGTACCATCGGAATTGCAGCTTTGCTGTTGCTGCTGAAGATATGGATGGAGCTGCTATGGGAATGTTCACATCATAGTGACAGTTATTAACTCTATAAGAAAAATAGATAGCCGGACAGGCAGGCAGATAAATAGGTAGATGGACAGACAGACGGAACAAACAAATGAACAAACTTTATTTTCAGAGGGTCACAGATGGGCAGAAAACAGATAGATAGATAGATAGATAGATAGATAGATAGATAGATAGATAGATAGATAGATAGATAGATAGATAGATAGATAGATAGATAGATAGATAGATAGATAGATAGATAGATAGATAGATAGATAGATAGATAGATAGATAGATAGATAGATAGATAGATAGATAGATAGATAGATAGATAGATAGATAGATAGATAGATAGATAGATAGATAGATAGATAGATAGATAGATAGATAGATAGATAGATAGATAGATAGATAGATAGATAGATAGATAGATAGATAGATAGATAGATAGATAGATAGATAGATAGATAGATAGATAGATAGATAGATAATTAGATAGATAGATAGATAATTAGATAGATAGATAGATAGATAGATAGATAGATAGATAGATAGATAGATAGATAGATAGATAGATAGATAGATAGATAGATAGATAGATAGATAGATAGATAGATAGATAGATAGATAGATAGATAGATAGATAGATAGATAGATAGATAGATAGATAGATAGATAGATAGATAGATAGATAGATAGATAGATAGATAGATAGATAGATAGATAGATAGATAGATAGATAGATAGATAGATAGATAGATAGATAGATAGATAGATAGATAGATAGATAGATAGATAGATAGATAGATAGATAGATAGATAGATAGATAGATAGATAGATAGATAGATAGATAGATAGATAGATAGATAGATAGATAGATAGATAGATAGATAGATAGATAGATAGATAGATAGATAGATAGATAGATAGATAGATAGATAGATAGATAGATAGATAGATAGATAGATAGATAGATAGATAGATAGATAGATAGATAGATAGATAGATAGATAGATAGATAGATAGATAGATAGATAGATAGATAGATAGATAGATAGATAGATAGATAGATAGATAGATAGATAGATAGATAGATAGATAGATAGATAGATAGATAGATAGATAGATAGATAGATAGATAGATAGATAGATAGATAGATAGATAGATAGATAGATAGATAGATAGATAGATAGATAGATAGATAGATAGATAGATAGATAGATAGATAGATAGATAGATAGATAGATAGATAGATAGAGTTCAAACAAAATACCACAAACATACATATTTCATGCACGCGCAGCTCACACAAACACTAACAACACATGTACTGGGACCCAACTTTTATCGCCCGCTGACTAAGCCTTATGAAAAAGGCAAAAACATGAACCATTCGTCTGGCCAGCCCAACGGTAGCAAACAAGCGTTCTATCATCTCCCACCCAACAAGTCCCGGCCAAACTCTGCCTGCTCAAATATGGCGTATGTTGTGTTTTCCTACCGGCTTCTTAAACTGACTTCTTGCCATCTCTAAACCTGGTGTTTTTGTTCGCATTGTTTAGCGCCGGGATAACTGTGTGTTTCTTTGATACTTGATATGTATAATGTTTTAGCTTCAGTAATTTATAAACATTACTGCAGCAGAATCCGTGCATAAAATATGGAACTATGTAATAATAATATTAGTAATAGTTTATATAATTACCTCTCCCAGCTTCACCCGCCCCTTTTGTGCTAATATTTAGTGACATATTTGCTAAATTAACCGTTATGTGTATGGTTGCATAATATTTCAGCAGCTAAATTTACTTCAGGACTAGCACTAGTATTACCTACTAAGTAAGTAGCCTACAAGGAAGTGTTTACAATCACCAACTGCTTGTAAATAAGTTGGTAAATTACGTGTGTAATTTGGATTGCACTTCGCCTATCGCTACAGTACCAGGAGCTGGTATGTTAATGAATTAGACCAGGCATGTCAGACAGACGGGAGGCATGCGGCCCTTTGCAATCTTATCTGTGGCCTGCAGAAAGGAAATATTCTGCAGTAATTTTTCTTTAAATTAAATGACTTCAATTAGATGTCAATATGTGGCCCTGGTAACAACACAAGCATGACCTATATGGCCCTTGGGGAACCCTCAAATTGAGAGGTCTAATAAAAGCTGTCTGTAGTATCACAAAGTGTTTATTACAGCAGTGCTGAACAAAAATGATGCGATAAAAAGGTGCTGTAATGTTACCTAATGTTACCATTGCATACCATCCCAAATAAAAGCTCTGGTGTTCTGTTTGTTGCTGTTTTGACATTGCTCCAAATCTGTATGCTTATCATATGATGAGTGTGAATTAACAGTCCTGATCCATAAATACAGGAGATAATAATGAAAGTAGAAGAGAGGGGATATGGTATATTCTTTCATTGTCCTAGTGTGTCATTATATGTCACATAGGGCTCGCAGTCTAACGGTGCAAGTTTCTGTAGCAGATAATTTTGTACAGGATGGGGGAACTAACCCTGTTCCCAGCCCTCCTCTTTTCTCATCCAGCAATGACTCAGATTGATGGAATATATGGCGCTTCAGATTGTCATGTTTTTACCAAATTAGAGCCAAAATATGAGGCCCTGTTCTGAGCAGTGATGAAGCAGAATGGGAAAATAATTAACCTGTATTGGTCGCTGCTTAGAAGATTTCTCTTCTTCTTTCTTCTTTGCGTTCACCAGCTGTAAACTCCGGCGGAAAGTTCTGGTTGTTCATCCACTTTTGGACTGCAGTCTTGTTCCAGAACCTGTGTGTTGCGTGTGCATTCATTTTATAGATCTGACTCATTTGTATGCAGACTTCTTAGAAGAGATACAATCAGGGATGAAGACATAAGAGAACCTCCTGGCAGAAACCAATTCCACATTAAATACGAAGACAGCACATCAAATAGTTTGACCATATATTTCTACATGACACTAGCCCCCATAATTTTACTACAGACTAATCAGCATTTAGTGTGTGATGTACTCCATATTACACGAACTGCCTTTACTTCCCATCGCGTTTACTGTTGTCCATTTGTAGGCTGGGTCAACCTGGGTGACCAGATTTTAAAAAAAATACTTTGCCACAATTTTTGATGAGCAAAATACTCTTCATGTGGCTTGCAGGTGCTACGTTTTGTTGGGGAAGAGAGAATAGACCCACTGAAGAAAAGCAATGGTAAACTGCAGTCACAGACTGTCGTCTTTATAAATGCCTTGTAAATCACAGATGCATAGAAATAAAAGTAAATCAAGATACATATAGAATAAGAAACTAAAGAGTGAAGTTAAAAATATAGTGAGGAAATGGGACAAGGTGCCTGCTATATAAGGAATTCCAGTGAAATTTGACTAAAAAGCTTAACGAAATGGGGAAGCAGAAAAATGTGCAGAAAAGAACCCAAATAAACGTTTTAGCCGGCAGCCTTTGTCAAACATGAAGGGAACTACACAAATGTTTTGCTATATAGCAAAGTATAGGATGGCTTGGTATGAATTGGTTGAGGGCCTATGCTCCATTGATGGATAAAGGTCACAAGAAGAAGAGTAAATCATGATTGGACAACTGAAACCTCTATGTTTTTTGTTTTTAAATATAAATATAAATATCTGTTGTACCTGGTTCTTGTTGTTCTTGAACAGTTGTTATTATTTTCTGGAATTAGTTTTACCCACTTAGATTCTGCTTTCTAAAAAATAAATCACTTTGGAACACTTTAGACTATTGGTGAAAAAGTTTGATGAACAAATTGTAATTTACTGACTGGCACCAAGAGATGCATAAGAAAGAAATAGAGACAGGAGAACATATCATCATCATGAAGCAGGTCCTTTGCAGAACGTCGCTCTCATCACTGTCTGCCTGAAAGAAACTCGGTCTCTCACCAGTTCTCCTGCCTCATGCACTTTCATACTCAAGGAGTCACTTATATCCTGTGCCCATCTTTGTATTGGTGCATAAAATATAGTATAGTATGTTCTCCAGTCGTCTTTGTTGCTAAGTCGATGCGAACACTTCGTAATGCCGAGATGCCGGGTTCGATTCCAGCTGTGGGCAATGCGCCTTGCGTTGGTTTCGACAGTGGTATCAAGAAAGCCGACCGTCCAGAAAGCAATGGCAAACTACTGGACGTAAATTTGCCTAGAGAAACCACACAACAGCCAGGAGCTGTTAGGGTTGGTTCTGCAACGTCCTGTAAAGGATAGGCAACAATCTTTTGCTTATTAATATATATGTCAGCGTCTCTGGCTTAGGTGTTGCGAACACACTTTGCAATACATTGCACAGTTTATTGGCAAACAAATTTCACTGTATGTCAATATATAATGAAGCACAAAAGGTGAACTAATTGCACTGAAATACACTCCGCATCGTCCTTGTCGATACATTGTTCATCTAATCACCAAAAGTTAATGATAGTCTCACTATAGTAGCTTCAAATTTATGATGAACTCTTTCTGTTTACATAAGAGGGAATTGTTCATTTTATAGTTAGAGCCACAGCTAGTAACAATAAAAATTAACAATTCCGCTTATGTAAACAGGAAGAGTTTGTTATAGATTAGAAGTAAGTCATGGTAAGTCATGTGAATGTTGTGAACTTCTGGCAATTAGATGAACAATGTGATGCTTACAGACAAATAGCAATATGCTTGTAGCTCATTTATTGTCATGTTTCTGTATTTGCTTTTTATTTTAGGTCTAAAGAACCTCAGTGGAACCAGGGTAAGAAAACCTATGCTACGATGCATCTGAAGAATCTGTTTATTGTGGTTACTGTATTATTTTTTAGACTTAGAGAGCCAAAAAAATCTGGCACATTGCTTTTAAAATAAATGATGTTGGACTGCCAGACATAGACAGCTCAGCAAACCTAAGATCAAAAACTTCTATGATGACAGCAATAACAATAGTGACAGTGATGTCAGCAGTAACAATAGTGACTGTGATGTCAGCAATAACAATAGTGACAATGATGTCAGCAATAACAATAGTGACAATGATGTCAGCATTAACAATAGTGACAGTAATGTCAGCAATAACAATAGTGACAGTGATGTCAGCAGTAACAATAGTGACTGTGATGTCAGCAATAACAATAGTGACAGTGATGTCAGCAATAACAATAGTGACAATGATGTCAGCAATAACAATAGTGACAGTAATGTCAGCAATAACAATAGTGACAGTGATGTCAGCAATAACAATAGTGACAATGATGTCAGCAGTAACAATAGTGACAGTAATGTCAGCAATAACAATAGTGACAATGATGTCAGCAATAACAATAGTGACAGTGATGTCAGCAATAACAATAATGACAGTGATGTCAGCAATAACAATAGTGACGGTGATGTCAGCAATAACAATAGTGACAGTGATGTCAGCAATAACAATAGTGACAATGATGTCAGCAATAACAATAGTGACAATGATATCAGCAATAACAATAATGACAATGATGTCAGCAATAACAATAGTGACAGTGATGTCAGCAATAACAATAGTGACAATGATGTCAGCAATAACAATAATGACAGTGATGTCAGCAATAACAATAGTGACAATGATGTCAGCAATAACAATAGTGACAGTGATGTCATAAATAACAATAGTGACAGTGATGTCAGCAATAACAATAGTGACGGTGATGTCAGCAATAACAATAGTGACGGTGATGTCAGCAATAACAATAGTGACGGTGATGTCAGCAATAATGATAGTGACAGTGATTTCAGCAATAACGATAGTGATGGTGATGTCAGCAATAACAATAGTGACAGTGATGTCAGCAATAACGATAGTGACAGTGATGTCAGCAATAACGATAGTGACAGTGATGTCAGCAATAACAATAGTGACAGTGATGTCAGCAATAACAATAGTGACAGTGATGTCAGCAATAACAATAGTGACGGTGATGTCAGCAATAATGATAGTGACGGTGATGTCAGCAATAACAATAGTGATGGTGATGTCAGCAATAATGATAGTGATGGTGATGTCAGCAATAACGATAGTGACAGTGATGTCAGCAATAACAATAGTAACAGTGATGTCAGCAATAACAATAGTGACGGGGATGTCAGCAATAACAATAGTGACAGTGATGTCAGCAATAACGATAGTAACAGTGATGTCAGCAATAACAATAGTGACGGTGATGTCAGCAATAACAATAGTGACAGTGATGTCAGCAATAACAATAGTGACGGTGATGTCAGCAATAATGATAGTGACAATGATTTCAGCAATAACAATAGTGACGGTGATGTCAGCAATAACAATAGTGACAGTGATGTCAGCAATAACGATAGTAACAGTGATGTCAGCAACAGTAACAGCAGTTATAACAATGGCAGGAATAATAATAAAAGAGCAGCAGTAACAACGAAGACTGCAGTGGTAATAATAACAGCCATAATGATAACAACAGTGGTAATAACAACAGCCATAATGATAACAACAGTGGTAATAACAACAGCCATAATGATAACAACAGTGGTAACAGTAATAGCAGCCATTGGTGTTGTGGTGTGGGTGGGGGGTAGACCACTTGCCCTCCAACAAGCATGTTGCAATAAGTGACTAAATAGAGGCTTGCTGAAATCTGACTTATTTGGCTGAAAGGTGCAGATTTGGCAGCCTTGTTGTAGACCATAACACAGTACGCCAACCACCATTGTAAGGGTGAAAGCAGAAGAAAAATAAGAACAGAAAAAAGAAGAGAATGAGAATGAAAAAGATAAACAACAGTAGTAACAACAACAACAACCGCCATATGCAGATGTTGAAAGTGAGTTCTACAGCAACTTCATGCAACAAGATGTGGTTTTGAAACAGAAATGTGACTCATTTGTTTTCATTAGATTTTGCTCAATGTACTCATAGAATGTGGCACAGGTGGTAATCCCAAGCTGACCTGATGGTGAGCTGTGTGTAGTTTAGGTTACACGTGTTAGGGTGAGTCATGCTGAATATCTTCATATCACTGATCCATATGGAGGTCTGTGTGGATTGTCTGACTCTTTCAGTCCCGATGATTTTGAGGGATATGCTCAACTGGCAACAATAAAAAAAATATCACACACAATAAATAGGGGAAAGTCATTAAACCAATATTGTGAACAGGGTTAAACACACATTGGAAATAGGCCAGTGTGACAGCCATATTTATTTAGAATGATGGGATTAAAACTGAAAATTACACAGAGAACACTTTTTGTGGTAGCTGGGATTCAAATGGAAGAACATTGATACATCATGCAGTTCTTGCGATTGAAAGACTTGAAATATGGAAATGTGTGTTGTTGTTTGTCCCTCACAAGTGATGAAGGACAACTCTTTCTTTCGTCTGTCATAGAATAGAACTGTGGTTGAGTTCTGTGAGTCTGGAGGTGACTTATAAGCCCTATACGGACCTGGATGGATCTAAGGAAGGATCTAGGACAGTGAGGACAGGGTAGTAAGGATTGTGCTGAAGTGTGGGTGGGTAATGTTTGTTGGGTAATATGAGGTTGAGTAAAACCCATCCTGATCTTCTGCCTTCTCCTTTCGGAATCAGTCTTTTGTGGTATGGATACTCTGTTTTACTGCACTCCACCTGATCCTAGAGAATCTTCACCATGTCAGCGTTACTTATGTTGAACACTAAGGTCATGCGGAGATAGAGATCCCAACTAAAACAGAAAGATGATTCTCCAGAGGTTTATGAATTCATTTATTGGGAAACAACAAATGTTGCCTGTGGACTTGCCTGGTTTCTCTAGTACATACTGACCAAACATGTCACTGTTTTAGATCTTCTTCTTCTGTTCCTCCTCTGTTACTTTTCTACTTTTCAGTATAAGGTTTTGAAGACACATCATGTGTGGGCCTTGGTATGTGCTGTTTAAATGCTGGTATTTACAGCCTCGGATATTCTGTCTATCCATCACTTGCGTGGTGGACCTCTGGTTGTGCTTCCATTTGTGACATGCTCTATGATGCACTGTCTCATGGTAGTATTGACACATATCTAAACTATTTGATCTGTTGTCTCTAGGTCTAGTACTGGTTCCCTTCCACCTTTATTTCCTGGTATCATCATTTTGGATTGTAGGGAGAATACTAAATCACACGGGATGTTTATATTGGATCTGTATGATTTAATGGTGTCTGTAATCATATTTTCTTGCATATTTTTCTTTATGTTTTTCCAGAGGAGGGAAGTATCAGGTTGCCTATTCGAGGCCGTGTGGTCAATCTGTTTACACCTTCAGACCTGACTGACTACGACATCAGCAAGCCTGGAGAGGCTCCCTCTGAGAAACTGCAGCTGGAGTGGGTGTATCCTTCAGTCATGTTTCATTCAATCATTCATTAGAGTGGATATATATTCTTTCCATTTTTCATTCAGCCATTCATTAGAGTGGATATATCTTCTTTCCATGTTTCATTCAGCCATTTATTAGAGTGGATATATCTTCTTCCCTTTTTTTTATTCAGCCATTCATTAGAGTTGATATATCTTCTTCCTTGTTTCATTCAGCCCTACATTAGAGTGGATATATCTTCTTCCCTTATTTCATTCAGCCATTCATTAGAGTCAATATATCTTCTTTCCTTGTTTCATTCAATCATTCATTAGAGTGGATATATCTTCTTCCCTTTTTTTATTCAGCCATTCATTAGAGTTGATATATCTTCTTCCCTTGTTTCATTCAGCCCTACATTAGAGTGGATATATCTTCTTCCCTTATTTCATTCAGCCATTCATTAGAGTCGATATATCTTCTTTCCTTGTTTCATTCAATCATTCATTAGAGTGGATCTATCTTCTTTCCATGTTTTATTCAGCCATTCATTAGAATGGATATTTCTTTCAGTGTTTAAGTCAGTTATTTATTCATCAAAGTTGGTTTATGTTTGAACCATGTTTAGTTCAGTCATTCATTAGTGTGTTTATCTACTTTACATGCTCAATTCAGTCAGTTTTTCATCATAGTTGGTTTACGGTTTGTCTTTGAACCATATTTCATTTACCCATTTATTAGTGGGGATATCTTCTTTCCATGTTTAATTTAGTCAATTATTCATTGCCCTGGGTTTATCCTCTGATCAAATTTCATTCAGTCATTTATTTTAGTGGGTGTAATTATGAATAATTTTTTTATTCAATCATTTATTTGAGTGGGTGTATTATAGAACCACGTTTCATTCAATCATTTATTGAGTCGGTGTATTATAGAACCACGTTTCATTCAGTCATTTATTTGAGTGGGTGTATTATAGAACCACATTTCATTCAGTCATTTATTTGAGTGGGTGTGTTATAGAACCACATTTCATTCAATCATTTATTTGAGTGGGTGTGTTATAGAACCACATTTCATTCAATCATTTATTTGAGTGGGTGTATTATAGAACCACGTTTCATTCAGTCATTTAATTGAGTGGGTGTGTTATAGAACCATGTTTCATTTAATCATTTATTTGAGTGGGTGTATTATAGAACCACATTTCATTCAGTCATTTATTTGAGTGGGTGTGTTATAGAACCACATTTCATTCAATCATTTATTTGAGTGGGTGTATTATAGAACCACATTTCATTAAATCATTTATTTGAGTGGGTGAATTATAGAACCACGTTTCATTAAATCATTTATTTGAGTGGGTGTATTATAGAACCACATTTCATTCAGTCATTTATTTGAGTGGATGAATTATAGAACCACATGTTATTCAATCATTTATTTGAGTGGGTGTATTATAGAACCACATTTCATCAATAATTTATATGAGTGGATGTATTATCGAATCATTTTTCGTTCAGTGATTAATATAAGGTAGTATCCTCTAACCGTGTTTCTTTTAGTCCTTTATCTGCATGTGAATCCTCTGAACACATTTAATATTAAAACTACATTTCGTTTCCCATATATTAATTTTTTAGATCCCACCCCTGCATGCCTGCTCACACAAACACATAAATACATATGCTCACATAGTTTCCCATATTTCAGAAATTGTATTTCATTTCCAGAATCCTAAAATTCATGTCAACTCATTAAGTACCAAGGAATGTATAGTTGTGTTGATTTATAACTAATGTAACTGTTTTCTGCCACCAAAGGGGAGCCGTAAGGATGTGGCCGCTAGATGCTTGCCTGCGGATCGGAAGGTTATAGGTTATGGTCCTGTTGGAGCCAAAAATTTTTCAGCGATGACCTTGGCTCCCAGGTCAATCCAGCCTTGAGTGGGTCCCGGGTGCAGTGCTAAGAAGTAAAGGCGGCCTGTATGATGCTGACCACATCACCCACCAGGTAAAAATTGGTCTATAAAAATAAAGGTCTAGCCCTATATGCCCAATACACCTGAAGGCATCGAAAAGTGTTCTTTGTTTTTACTTTACTAGCACCAAAAGAGTTAACAAAATAGCATTCTTCACAATCACAAAATTTCTTAACTAAGTATTTTATAGTTATGGCTATCGAGGGCGAGACTGCAGATCTAATCTGTACTTCCTGCCAACCGGGGAGGTTATTTACTTCACTGCCGCTGTTGTTGTTTTACATAATGTGGAGGAGCAGACGCAGAGACATTATCTGGGCCACACAGATGACATCAAATGGTGAGTACATCTGTGAACTGCCAGTGTTTCATTATGTCCCTTGAGAGAACGCAGCACATGGTCTCTACAATACTGCCGAGACTTTGCTCAGCAGAGAGGAGGAACTTCATCGCTGATTGTAGTTGGTATCATCATGGGCTTCCATGTAGCACAGTGGATCATCTGTCATCTAAAAAGATGGAATGGTGCCAACAGAAACAAAGCAGAGTATAGTAACACAAACCCATCAAGCGTGCTCTTGGAGGTGATTAAGTCTTCGAGTCCCAAGGAATACATCACACTTTCTGTCGTGGATTAGGTGTTTTTTGTTGTTGTTGTTGCTTTGTTTTCTTTTACTTTGCGTAACTAGGTGTAAACTTCGGCAGAAAGTTCTGATTGTTCGTCCACTTCTGGACTGCAGTCCTGTTCCAGAACCTGATTGTTGCATGTGCATCCATTTGACAGATCTGACTCATTTGTGTGCAGACTGTTGATTTCTTGCCTGTCAGGCAGATACACTCCGACTTCGAAGGAAGCTCCCAATTAGTCGACTCCTACGACATGCTTTTGGGTAGGCAGTGGGTCTGTTCTTGTTTTCCCTTCAGTAGGGCCCGGGAACCCACACGGGGGAAAGTGGCTGACAAAATGTTGACCCTATCAGTCGAGTGCCATTTTGTCTATAACAAAAATTATTTTTGCACTTCTGTGTGCCTGATGAACCTTAGTCATTAAAATGGCCTTTCACTTACTTTTATTGACCATTGACATTCACTTAGTTAACACAAATTTTACAATTTTTTAAAAATCATTAACATTCACTTTCTGATCATGAGTGTAACAATTATTGGCCATTAACATTCACTTTCTTAATATAGGTGTTGCGATTATTGACCATTAACATTCACTTTTACACAAGTGTTACAATTATTTACTATTAACATTCACTGTGTTAACACAAATGTTAAAGTTGTTGACCATTAACATGTACTGTGTTAACACAGGTGTTACAGTTATTGACCTTAACATTCACTTTTTTGATTTAAGCTTTACAACTGCCTGATTACTTACAGCATAGCTGTCCACCCGGACCGAATCAAGATTGCCACTGGCCAGACTTCTGGGCAAGATGCTAAAGAAGGAAAGGTAGAAACCAGCTTTAAATTCTTGTTGTTTACACTAATTTAAACAATGGCATCTCCGATCAGTATGGTGGATAGGCAGGCTTACAGTCTTTAGTTGTGGCGAGTTTTTCCTTCTGAAAATAGTTGAGACTGAAAGGATATTGTTCCCTCTGCCAACTGCTGAGCTGAGTTGCTTAGCGTGACACTGTGAGCTAAGATTACGTTTGGACCGTTATTCAATTGTGCCTAACTTGGTTTGAGTTGTGAATTGCTGATTCAGAAAATGGCGAGCGGCCTGTTGCCAGGGAACTAGTGCTGCATTATAGGATAATTGTGTGTGCAAAACTACTGATCTGTTGTTAACTTCTGCTACTAGCGATGATGAATTGCATTTCTAGCACTGAACTGTCTGTGTTGACACTTCTGACACTACCTTATGCATTTAATGCATGTGCATGCTATTGATTTGCTGAGACTGCAGTCTGTGTCAGTTTTTTTCCGCAAGGGACAGTGGTGTGGTGAACATTCTGTGAAGTTTTCATTGACAAAGAAACAGGGCAGCTTTGGGGTATCCTGTTTGCTGTGAATTTGGTACTGTGATTACCTGATTATCTGGCAAGGAACATAATTTTGCCACACAGAAATTTAGTCTGCTTGCAAAACAGAGGTTAACCCTTTGACCCTGAGACACAGCAAAACCGGCTCTTAGATTGGGTGCAGTTCACTGGCTTAAGCTCTGGTGGCAAGTTTTTGTTATTTGTCTACTTTTGGACTTAATCTTGAGTTTTGCATGAACACTCATTTTACAGATCTGGGTTATTTGTATGCAGACTGTTGGTTCCTTGCCTCTCAGGCAGATGAATTTCAACTTCAAAGGAAACCTTTTTTTAGTTGACTCCTACAACATGCTTGTTAGGGAGGCGGTGGGTCTATTCTTCCCCACCCCACAGTGGGGTCCTGGAACCCACACAGGGAATATTAGTGAGAGAAAAAAAAAATCCAGTTCAGCTTTTCTGGAGAATTCAACCGTGGACCCCTGTACCCAAAGCAGGAGCACTAACAGTGAGACTCCCATAACTTGACAGAGAAAGATATTTTACCGTCAGATTGTTATGTCAGTGGACGGAGAGTAAGAATTGACACAAATGATTGTACTTTTACAATCACTAACAACAAACATTATTTCTATACCCAGCTAAAAGAATTACTGTTTTTCACAGGATCTTGCATTTTGGTTGTTAATGCAGTTTCTGTCGTTTTCTGAACTTATTTGCATGCATACTTTATATTTTAGAACCTTGGTCTTGATAAATGTTTTCCCATAGCCCAAGAGATAATTGTGGTATACCCCAGCCCACACACATATTGCACTGTGTATGGCTTGTTTCACTGTTGTCAGATTACATAACTAATTGATTTATTAGTTAGAATCCTGCACTTGGATATGCGTTTTCTTTCTTTCAATACAAGTAGGACTATAGGAATGCTGTTTGTTTTCATAGTGCACTGATTATGAATGATACAGTGTTGTCCCTGTGTGCAAGGACTGTCCTCTCCTGAAGGAACTGCGAAGCAACATGTGGCCACACCCAGTAAACGTGACAACTAAACTTTTGGGAAACCTAAGAGACCTTGAGATGATATCCCAGTTTATGGCCCACAGAGGATTTAGCACATGATCAGAGATCGCTGACGAAATTTCCATGTGTGATCTGGCATGCTGCTGGCACATGTGAAGCTACAAACTCTTTGTCTTGATGATCCATCAGCCTCATTGTCATCTGATAGCAGCATGTCCATGTAGGGCATCTATTTATTACTTTACTTCTCTACATCAGAGCTGTTCACCTGGCAACCCACAGGCCAAATCCGGCCTGCAAAGGTCTAGACAGTGGTCCACAGATTGCCTGAAAACTTAATTGTATCAATGATCTTACTGCGGTGGGGCTCGGGTCTCCTGTGACAGTTTCCCATTTTTCAACATTTTGGTCCCTGAGTTAACTTAGTTGAACGGCCCTACTCTACACAACCTAGACTGTTGATGCTGCTGAGCTGCAAGGGGGCTGTTTTATAGATGAATGATGTGAACCTAGGATCACAAATGCAGAACTTTGGGAAAGAACAAATCAAGTTCCAATGGACCAAGAGGTGAACAAAAGATGCTAGCATTGGATAGGACACACGAAACCTGAGAATAGTATAACTAGAATGTCTTTGCACTGGAACCCACGGGGGCTTAGAAATAAAGGAAGACCAAAAACGCATGGAGAAGGAAACTAGAGAGTGAAGTTGAAAAGATGGGGAGGACATGGGGAGAGCCACATGGGATAGCGAACAATAGAACGACTTGTGAGTTGGTTGAGGGCCTTTGCTCCATTGAGGGTTAGAAAGGCGGAAGAAGAAACAGAAAAAGAAAAAGAAAAAGAATAATGAAGATGAGAACATGTGGACAGATAAAAATAAAAAAAATAAAAATTATGAAGATGTCTTGAAATTTTTTTTTCAAACTCATGAAGAGAACTGGCCACCCACATCAGAAGGAAGCTGTCTACTTTTTTTTGGCCATATCATGAGAACCGGGAAACTAGAGTAAATTATGACAGAAAAGTTGGAGGAAAAGAGAGTCCGAGAAAAACACCAAGAGAAAAGATGCCGGACAGTTTGACATCAAGCCATGGAAGATCATCTGTGTCAGATATAGACAGTACATGAGACAGGAAGCCGTGGACAAGGCATGACTGCCAGTGTCACATGGCATGGAGTTTAGGAATGAGACCATCATGTCGCTTCCCAGCTTACGAGTACCTTGAGAATTTGCATAAACTGTAAAAAATCTAACCATGCATTTTAGGGAGAAAACAATTTTCCACATTTTCTGTCTCTTGCCAAGATTTCAGGATTGTTGCTGTCAAATGCTGTTCCATCTGTTGGACTTGTCCATATTTTGTTGTTTTTGCTGCATGATGTCAAAAAGTATGCTGCTAGGCAAAGCAGTTGCCTATTGGCACTTGATTGTGCCTTGGAGATTGTATTTTGTACTGCTAACTAAGGGACTTAATATGCCCTCATGTATTATCTATGGTCTACTGCAAGAATTGATCCTTATATCTAGAATTTTTTACTTGTATGTCTGCTTTTTTCTTTGTTACATCTGGAAACTGTTTTTATTTATTTTTGATTAAAGCCACAACAGACAAAAAAATCTGGGTCCCCAGATGGCATGAATGGTGATAGCCTTGTGAGTGTGGTTTTTGAAGGTTTTTGAAAACATCAGCTTTCATAATTGTGCTTTGTTGTTTCCACCACTCGGCAGTTATCATAAAAGCACAATTATATTTCTCAGTTATATTAGCTTAATTGTTTGGTTTTACTAACTTCAAGTACCTGGGCATTTTGGTTATATTTGATGGAGGATTATTACAGATTTAGATCTCTGTTTTTGGAGGATAGTAACAAGAGTTCTTGCATGTTACTTAAAACCAGTTTTAATATCATCATCATCGAGTGCAGTGCCGACTGGCCTGGGTGATCATACCTCTCCACAATCTGTGATCCACAGCTGCGTGTATCAGTTCATGTGTTGACACCCCTCCTTGCCATAACAGAAGACTGTCAAGAATATTCTCACACTGTCTTCCTCTGTCTCTCTTTCCACAGATCTTTCCAGTGGTCACAACATGTTCCATTTTCACTCTTCTCCTAACATGATACAAAAATAATGACTGTCTCTTTCTAATGTTTGTTATGAATTGTCTCCGAGCACTCGCCTCTTTCAAAATATCTGGGTTGCACTTCTTAGCTGTCCAAGGAGTTTTAAGGATTCTTCTGTAAAACCACATTTCCAAGGCCTCAAGAAATTGTTCGACTTGTCCAGGACTCACAGCCATGTGTTAAAAATGACTACATAGCATGTGAGAATTCTTTTTCTAACCTCCAATGACAGTGATTTATTGCATAAAAAGTTATTCATTTGATAACAGTTTTAATATAGGGCTTTTAATTCTGGAACATCAGTAAACAGGGGAAACATTTCCTCAAGGCCTCAGTCGTGTGGTTTGCAGAAGAATCTTTAAACCAAATTTTGTTGCTGTCTTTTATTTAGATCACTGTCATCATCCTCAAGGATTTATTCCCTTTGCTGAGCTGTGAAGCTTCTTGACCAGTCTCAGCCGTAATTGTCATTCTTGTGTCGATCTCTTTCATTTGTGTACATCTGAAGTGATAGATCTGTGCAAATCTGTTTAATAAATGTTCTTTTTATTTTTAATTAATTTTTGTATTATATAAAATAACGTTAATACTGTGGCCCGGGGAGCGCTAAATAAAAGGGATCATAATCCAGTGGAAATTCCTGAATAAAATCATCTAAACAAATAACAATTTTACACAGATCACTAATAAATTTTAAACCTTTTTTAACATGTTTTTTAAAAATTGTTTCTGAATTTATAAAGATAATAAAAGGGAGTGACTAATAAACATGAACAGAGTGAAACATTAAATAGAATAAATATTCTGGGGCCTAAACAAAATGTATCTGATGATTGATGATATGACTCTCCCACCTTGTGAGTTCTATCACTGAGGCTTCTGGGAAAGTTTGACATGAACTTAGCTCTAAAAAAATAATTTGGGTTCACAGGAAAACACTCTTAAAGTGATTTTTAGTTAATATATTCATATCCTGACCTCCAAACATTTGTACAGGCGCAAACTTAGCTAACAGCATTAAATATGTTAAATACAAAATTGCAGACAAGTCGGAAAAATGACATATTTTAAATCTAACCGGAAGTGTTGGTTTTGCAGCTTGTCGGGGCAACAGGGTTAACAGTAGAAAAGTACTTGCCTTTTGTTTATATTTTAATATATTCTTCTTCTGAATGTACAACGTATGCATCTTTAACCGATATAGAGCTTTGCATGTTATATTATCTCAGATGTAATACAATTTGCTTTTTAAATATTTGTTCTTACCACAAAACTTTCTGCAACAATGTCCCTGTAGAGAGAGTAATTTGATACTAAACTAGAATATAGTCACTCCAGTTAAACTCGCTCTAATAGATACAAGAGACTTAGGCCAACTGAATGCCACTGCATCCAACTTAAGAGTGGAAACTTATAGTCTTCAAGAAAAATCTCACAGCCAACCAGCCGTTACTATTCATTGATTGGCACATCTCCGTATTTCCAGATGATAGTGTTATATTGCACAATGAGGAGGCATGAGACTCATAGCCCACGGTGATTACTATTGGAGGCGAAGTAAAAAATCCTGGCCTGCACTCTGCATGGTGACTGTCATAGCAAGCAATCATGAACCAAACATCCTCTGTGCCGAAATCCTCCCCGTAGACATGAGATGATACAAATTTCCAGAATGATAGATTTCTAAATGTTTGTTATATCTCATTATTTATTGTGGGTTGTATTTGTGGTAAAGTCACTGACTTTTTCAGTTTGAGGATGAAGATCATGATTTTGCATTTTGGCTATTTCATGCTTTCTGTCTTTTATTAGGTACTCTATGTAATTGGTTTCCTCTTGCGCACCAGTCAATATATTATGCACGATTGTACTTATTAATTTTAGATACAGCGTACTAACAAAATCTGGCAGTCAGTTTGTTTTTGTTTATTGATGTGCTTTACAGTTGACCATGAACGTGATATTTTTTAGATTTTGTTATAAATTGGAATTTCTTTCTATGGACAAATTCTTTGTTGCGGCTTTCTGGAACTGAAAGAGATGAATGAATCTGGAGGAATAAGACAGAAGTAAGAAAACAATGAAGAATTACGAAGGAAAGGGCTCAGAAGGCTAAGGTTAATTTACGAAGATCTCTGGCGATCGTTGCCAGAGCTATGAAGTGTGTGCTTTATGTGACATTCTCGGAAAGTGGCTAGCTGTTCTGCGGAGAGAGACCGAAACATGTGGGATAAAACCCGGTGCAGTAAAGTCAGCCTCTCAACTTTAACCTTTAACTTCTGTATTGTATTCTTCTCTTCTCCCCCTTCTCTTCTCCTCCTTCTCTTCTCCTCCTTCTCTTCTCCCCCTTCTCTTCTCCTTTCTCTTCTCCCCCTTCTCTTCTCCTCCTTCTCTTCTCCTCTTCTCCCTCTTCTCTTCTCCCCCTTCTCTTCTCCACCTTCTCTTCTCCCCCTTCTCTTCTCCTCCTTCTCTTCTTCCCCTTCTCTTCTCCACCTTCTCTTCTCCTCCTTCTCTTCTCCCCCTTCTCTTCTCCACCTTCACTTCTCCTTCTTCTCTTCTGCCCTTCTGTTCTCCCCCTTCTCTTCTCCCCTTCTCTTCTCCTCCTTCTCTTCTTCCCCTTCTCTTCTCCTCCTTCTCTTCCCCCTTCTCTTCTCCTCCTTCTCTTCTCCTCCTCCTCTTCTCCCTCTTCTCTTCTCCCCTTCTCTTCTCCCCCTTCTCTTCTCCTCCTTCTCTTCTCCTCCTACTCTTCTCCCCCTTCTCTTCTCCTCCTTCTCTTCTTCCCCTTCTCTTCTCCCCCTTCTCTTCTCCTCCTTCTCTTCCCCCTTCTCTTCTCTTCCTTCTCTTCTCCTCCTCCTCTTCTCCCCCTTCTCTTCTCCCCCTTCTCTTCTCCTCCTCCTCTCCTCTGACAAGAATGCCAGTGAAATATAATAGACGCAGAGCTAGGGGAGACAACATAGAAGATGGATTGATTAATTGGCAGGTATAAAATTCATCAGGCCTAATTAAGAATTTTAGCTAAACATTTTGAGGTCAACCTGTAAACCAGGTCGATTTATATTCCAGGTTGACTTGTACACCGGTTTAACTTGTACACTAAGTCAACTTGTATACTGGGTCAACTTGTACACTGAGTCAACTTGTAACTACATTGAACCGCTTGCAACAATGTACAGCATTCACTAACAAGCCTCCCTAGGATTTGTATTGAGTGGCTTGAGGATTTCTTGCTACATTGGATAATTACAGTCAGAAGAAAAAAGTGTAAATACAACTTCACAGAAGCTGACGTAACTAAATGTATTTTTTTTCTCTCTTCCAGCCTCACGTGAGAGTCTGGGACTCGGTCAGCCTCAACACCCTTCATGTCTTAGGCCTGGGAGTCTTCAACCGGGCAGTTGCCTGCTTGTCTTTCTCTAAATTGGTGAGTAAAGAAAAGCCTGGGAAGAGAGGAAGAGGAAGGCCAAGGAGAAGATGGGTGCAGGATGTGGCAGATGATCTCCAGATGGGTGTATCAGACGCAGGACATCTTGCTCAGGATAGGAAGGTTTTCCGGATGGTTGTTATGGCAGCGAGGTTCCGCGAGGGACATGCTACTGAATGAATGAAAGAAAAGCAGTTTTCCAACCATTCAGATATAATCAAATTTACAGTCCAATGAGGCATGTTGGAAATAAAATGTTACATCCATATTTCCCCCCTATATGAATTTAATGGCCCCATTATCGTAGGGAAAAAAAAAGAGTAGACCCACTCTCCCCCCCCCCCCCAACACAACAAGCATGTCCTAAAAAGCACCCCACCCCTCAGTGGTGGATATATGTTTGCAAAAAAGGGGAGGGGGGGAAGGGGGGGGGGCCTGCACTTTCTTCAGTAATTGTGGTCAGTGCACAAGAGACTCTTCAACCATGTAAATACAATCTTGTTAAAAGTATTGTTGACACTTTTCATATTATTTCATGTATATTATTATGTTAGTTTGCCATTCAGCTTATTAGTAATGATAATAATAATAATAATAATGTCTTGAATAACAAATTTGTTTGGGGTGGGTCCCCACGCATCCCTTGTTTTTGCCTATAAATATTATAAGGTGGGGTAGGGGTTGGGGGCACTCAGCAGTGCCCCAATGTTTTCTTTGTTTCGACTTACCTGCCAGTGAAATTCCCACCCAGAGACATCAGAGATATGTTGCATTTTCTTCACATGTATAGGCACACCCTGGGTGTTGGGTCCCTGAGGACTGAGTCTACGACAACCCAACAATAACAGTGTGGAGATCAGAGAAGTCATGTAATGTTTGTTGTTATTTCTGTCTTCTGCAGGATGGAGGCCAACATCTGGTTGTCGTCGACGAAGCCAACGAGCATGTTATTTCTGTTTGGGACCTGGGCAGAGAGAAGCCACACAAGATTACAGAGACCAAGGTTTGGCTTGCAGTACATTGTTCTAATGTATTTTTTTGTTTTTCAATTTATTTGTAACAATGAAGTCCTGTGAACTAAGAAAATGAAATATCTGAGAAGGACTGCAGGAGTGCCCAGAAAAGATACATCAGAAATCAGGTCATAAGACAAAAGTCGGCACAGAACCAGTTCTAAGCTACATACAAAGACGGCAGATCAAGTGGCCTGCACTCTTAAAGAGAATGCCTTGGGATGCCGTGTACCATACAAGTTATACACCAAAAGAGGGGAAGGATGTAGAGCACAAGATAGACCAAAAACAAGATATAAAGATGACATCAGAGAAACACAACATGTCGAGGCATGGTCGAGGCAGCTAGAAGAGCAAGATGCAGAACCTTGTATCTCACTTGAGACCAGAAACGGTAAAAGAGGAAGTGAAGAAGAAGAATATAATATCTGTATTGTGCAGAGACACTGTCTGATTTTTTTACCGTATTTGGTTTGTTCTGTTTTAGCTTTATCTTAGTGTGATGCTGACCACATCACTCTTTGATGGCCTATTGGTGGATAAAATATAAGTCTAACATCATGACGGTCTATTGGTGAATAAGTTTAACATCATGACAGCCTATTGGTGGATAAAAATATCAGTTTATCATCATGACGGCCTATTGGTGGTTACAAATATAAGTTTATCATCATGACGGTCTATTGGGGGATAAAAATAGAAATCTAACATCATGACGGCCTACTGGTGGATAAAAATAGAAATCTAACATCATGACGGCCTATTGGTGGATAAAAATTTAGGTCTATCATCATGATGGTCTATTGGTGGATAAAAATTTAGATCTATCATCATGACGGCCTATTGGTAGATAAAAATATAAGTCTCTCATCATGACGGCCTGTTGGTAGATAAAAATATATGTCTATCATCATGATGGCCTATTGGTAGATAAAAATATGTCTATCATTATGATAGCCTATTGGTAGATAAAAATATATGTCTATCATCATGACGGCCTGTTGGTAGATAGAAATATATGTCTATCATCATGATGGCCTATTGGTAGATAAAAATATGTCTATCATTATGATAGCCTATTGGTAGATCAAAATATATGTCTATCATCATGACGGCCAGTTGGTAGATAAAAATATATGTCTATCATCATGATGGCCTATTGGTAGATAAAAATATATGTCTATCATCATGATGGCCTATTGGTAGATAAAAATATGTCTATCATTATGATTGCCTATTGGTAGATAAAAATATATGTCTATCATTATGACGGCCTATTGGTAGATAAAAATATAAGTCTATCATCATGACGGGCTATCGGTAGATAAAAATATGTCTATCATCATGACGGCCTGTTGGTAGATAAAAAATATGTCTAACATCATGAAAGTTTTTGGCTGGATAAAAATATAAGTCTATCATCATGATGGTCTATTGGTAGATACAAATACAAGTCTAACATAATATGCCTGCTGCGGCAGTCATATAAAAAAGGATCTTTTACTTTTTACTTACTTAGCTTTATCTAAACTGTCCTATACCTCCGAGTTTTGAGCTCAATAGTGCATCTCTGTTTTAATTTCTCCCAGAGTTCCACTGACCCGGTTCTGGCCGTGGAGTACCATCCGCTGGAGAACTCTCAGATCATCAGCTGTGGGAAAAGTCAGATCACATTCTGGACGTTTGAAGGAGGGTCACTGGCCAAGAAAAATGGTGTCTTTGATGTAAGTATTCATTTGCCAGTTAAGCATCTTGGTTAAATCTTTCAGCTCTAGTAGTTGCCTGTTTGGGAAATATAATAACTAAACAAAAATGGATATTATTTTCACCAAAGCAACATACATGACAACAGCTTATTAAACTAAATAAGTTGACAGTATTTACTGAATTGAGTTGAACGGAGTTAAGAACTGACATCGTAGTACTTGAGACATTCCTATAAGCACTCCATCCCCTTCTTCAGCAGCTAAGGCAGAGTTCCAGATGGTACGGGTAGCAGTTTGAATATATTCATTGACTAAATGAATCAAGCATTTAAAAAAAAAATATTGGCTATCAGATTTTTTTGTATTTGCTTGACAGAATATAATGTATATATAAGAAACAAATAGATTGTCAGATTTTTAGAGTATGTTGTGACTAAATGTAACAAACTAAACTCATGAATTGACTTAGATATTTAGCATGGTCTGAATAAATGGGAAATTGTGGTTAGTGGGATCAGCTGATGGCCATGGGAATCTTTGTGCCGGGCCACGCCGGTGTCAAGGTACTGAGTGTGCAGATTTTCTGTCAGACAAGGCGGTTCCACGCCGGTGTCAAGGTACTGAGCGTGCAGATTTTCTGGCAGACAAGGCGGTTCCCCGCCGGTGTCAAGGTACTGAGCGTGCTGATTTTCTGGCAGACAAGGCGGTTCCCCGCCGGTGTCAAGGTACTGAGCGTGCTGATTTTCTGGCAGACAAGGCGGTTCCACGCCGGTGTCAAGGTACTGAGCGTGCTGATTTTCTGGCAGACAAGGCGGTTCCACGCCGGTGTCAAGGTACTGAGCTTGCTGATTTTCTGGCAGACAAGGTGGTTCCACGCCGGTGTCAAGGTACTGAGCGTGCTGATTTTCTGGCAGACAAGGCGGTTCCACGCCGGTGTCAAGGTACTGAGCGTGCTGATTTTCTGGCAGACAAGGCGGTTCCCCGCTGGTGTCAAGATACTGAGCGTGCTGATTTTCTGGCAGACAAGGCGGTTCCACGCCGGTGTCAAGGTACTGAGCGTGCTGATTTTCTGGCAGACAAGGTGGTTTCACGCCGGTGTCAAGGTACTGAGCGTGCTGATTTTCTGGCAGACAAGGCGGTTCCACGCCGGTGTCAAGGTACTGAGCGTGCTGATTTTCTGGCAGACATGGCGGTTACTCCGACTAGTCAGGAGTTATGTCATTAATGAAATGCAAGATACATGTCATGAGGAAAATCACGGCAACAACAAGTAATCAATATCTCTTCAACTGTGTTGGATATGGGTGGGAGCACCCAGTCTGTGAGGAGTGGTGTGACGAAAGTCCAACTAATAATTAATTACTGAATGCAAACTGCATCATTCATCGATTGCTGTTTTTTAAAACTAATATACCTTAAAATTTCAATTAAGCGTCGTCTCCACAGTGAAGGTCAGCTGCAATGAATCTCCAACATGCCCTTCCCCTTTACCTGGTTGTACACTGTCACAGACTGCTGCCCGTCCATCCCTCGATGTTGTCCTCCCACTTGTATCATTGCATACCTCTTTCTCTCCTGCCTTCGACCTTTCCCTCCAGTATGGTTTTTAAAAGCATGTAATGTCTTTTAATGTGGCCAAGGTATTTCAATTGTCCCTTTTTTATTTCTTTCAGCAGTTTCTTTTCATTTGTAGCCTTTCCAGAACCTTTGTATTGAATTGTTTTTGTTTCCATGAAATACGACCTATTCTTCTGTATACCCACATCTCTAGAGACTTCAGTTCGATTTTCTAGTTGCTTCTTCATTGTCGAAATTTATGTCATAGGTATATTTTTTACTAATTTCTGACCATATGCCATCTCCACAGTAAAGTCTGCCCAAATTTGATCTTCCTGTCTCTCATTTTGGTAGTTTACCCTGCAACGAATCCACTTCCTGTTATTCCATCTAGTGCTTCACCCTGTTCATGTTTATTGATTACCTCTTTGTATATTTTTATTTATTTATAAAATTTATATATATATATATATATATATATATATATATATATATATATATATATATATATATATATATATATATATATATATAAAATAAATTCTTAATTAGTGAAGTGTGTAATATGTTTTAAGGTATATTTTTGGCAATTCTCACTGGTTCATGACCAGTTTCTTTAGCATTTGCAGGGTAAATGACCTGCATCGCTGTCTATCTCTTACTTGACTGCCTGGTATATACAATGATTAGTACATTTGTTTCAGAGGTAAGCTAAATTATATTTAACATAATAAATTCTTTTAACTATTTCTGTCAGAATTAGAACAAAGCCAAGTATGTTCTCTTTTTTTTCTGCAAGAAATATGACAAACTATGTTCTGTTTCTGCCAGAAACTGTGTTCTCTTTGTTGTTGTTTTTGTGTGTATGTTTTTTGTTGTTGTCAGAAACATGACAAACCTGAGTATATTCTATTTTTTTTTTTAACTGCCAGAAATATGACATACCAGGTTCTGGTTTTTTTTTTCTGCCAGAAATATGACAAACTATGTACTATTTTGTTTCTGCCAGAAATATGACAAGCCGAAGTATGTTCTCAGTCTGGCATTTTCTGACAGTGGTGACACAGTTTCTGGAGACTCTAATGGAAACATTTATGTGTGGGGTAAAGGTGAGTGAAACTTCATAGCATAGTTGTTACTACACACACTTGCTGAATCTGTGGTCCCTGGTTCAACCGGCAGAAGAGTCAGGATTATATTTTCTGACACTTTTGTATTCTAAAAATGACCTGTATCTCAGGTTAACTCAGAATTTAATCGATACCAGGTAAAGTCCTGGGAAGTGAAGGCAACTAGTGTGACCTTAACCGCATCACCCACTGATGGTAATTAAGTTTTTAAAAGTTTTAATCTGACATCAAAAGTAGATATTTTTTTTTTCTTTGAATGCATCATAGAAAAGACAGTATGTAATATTTAGTGACAACAGTAAATTTGGCAGAAGAAAACCTGAGAACATCAAGAAAAGAGTGAGGTTATTTGGGGAAAAGAAACAGGAAGAGCTAGAGAAGATTCTCAACAGCTTCACATAAATTCATACAGATGCATCTGTATTGGAAATGGTTGCCAGTATGTAAAAGCTGTGACTGTAGGCATATAAGATGATCATTGTTAAACAGCATGTTTTAAAATGGGGCTTTTCAACTATGTTTTACAGATGTTTTACAAGAAAAATAAACATCCCCTGAAAAATAAGCGCTAATGCATCTTTTGGAGCAGAAAATAGTTTAAGCCTCTGTCTTATTTTTGGGGAAACTCGGTAACAACTAATATAAATGTTATGACTGAATGTTAGTTTTAAATTTTTTCTTCTTCTGTGAAGCAGTCTATAAAATGCTGTAGTTTAAAAATTGAACTTTCTAGGTAGCAACCGAATTGTGAATGCTGTAACTGGAGCCCATGAAGGCGGAGTTTTCTCTCTTTGCTTTTTGAAGGACGGAACTCTTCTGTCTGGAGGAGGAAAGGACAGAAAGATTATCCAGTATGATAGTACCTTACAAAAAACTGGACTGGAAACAGAAGTTAGTTGTGTTTGTTTTTTAATGTTAATGGCCATGTGTAGTTATAATGAGCTTTAAATAATTATTTCCTGCTGTGCATTGCCAACTTAACTTTCACATTATCTTTATTTAACCATTTTTATTCTTTGGCAAGAACGAGACAGTTTCTTGAATTGTTTATTTTTAATCTTTTAGACAAATGGTCAAGTTTAAATGTACTTCCTCTTGCATTGACTCTGCAGTAACTCTGCTATTACTGCAACGACTTTGCACTTCCTCTCTTGGCTCTAAGTCATACACAGCTTACTCTGACACATTATCGAATACTACAACACAGCAACTGTAACAAGTACACAGGTTGAGAAAACACCAAACAGCTGATGATCACGATTCAGTTTATTCTGCAATGATTTCCTCTCAATAAAACACGTTAGAGGATAAATATCTGGGGTCCTGATTGTTACTTACAATCACCATACAAGGATTTACATTGTCATGTATCTGACTCTCGCACTTTTCAAGCTCTCAAAAATGGCATCAGAAACGTTGCAGGCACAACTGTCTATCATTCCTCTATTCTGTATTATCATAGATTGGTTAGTCAGGTTTCTTCAGCTGGTAAGGTGAAACAATCTTGTGCTCAATTCAGGCTTCATTCACTTCACGCACTTTAACCTCCAGCAAGACCAAATAAAAACAAGACTAAACTGTCTCAGTTTTTCATTGCTTAAATAATCATTTTTCTTTCCTTCTAGAATTTTCTCATACATTTCTCAAACTATCCGCTTTTCATGACTTTTGGCCACCTACACAGAATTCATGCTTGCCTCGTAAAGTTTGTGCCAGTATTGTACAGTGTGATAGACTGACACATGCATTTTCTGTTGTATTATCTGTTGTATAGTATAGAAGGTAATTAATTATAATCATCATGTCAGTTGCGCGACCATATCCTCTTGTTGATCATTTAGGATTCATTTCACATCCCATCGATGTTGATGACTGGGTCATGTGGTCTTGCTTTGTCCAAAAGTACACATGTCTGCCACCGTGCAGTGAAGACAACCCAACTCACAACTTGCACATTTCAGAGGGATCCTTACTATTACTATTCCTTGAAAAATATCCTATGAATTCTTCATCAACTTTAACCAGTTTTCTTGCTATTTTGTATAAATGAAATGTCAGCTAATGTAAAAGCAGAAATATATTTCAGGGCAAAAAATAAATGGTTCACTGATCACTCTTGTATGGTAAACAAGACATCAGAATCACAAAGAATGCATATAAACACATTTAAACACAGGTGGCAAGGTTTTTAATTATATGCAAATGGATCAGTTGAATCTAAAAATAGCTAATATGCATTGACCTTTGACCTCGAGAGAAAATAGTCCATATAAATCTTAAAAGAAAGTAGAAAACATGTTGTTACGCCCGTAGCACGGGGTCAGGAACCGAATAACGTCCAGAGACAGACATAGCAGTGTAAAAAAAAACACGTCCATAGCAGTGAAAGGGTTAATTAAAATGTTTGTGGTAAAGTGTTGATATAATTTCCTTTTATCAATGTTTGTAACGGTATTATTTTCCTTTTAACCAGGTGCCAGAGCTGTATGGGCCAGTTAGGACGCTGAGCCAAGGCAAAGGTGGTCTTATCCTGGTCGGCACGACCAGAAACTGTATCCTGCATGGCTCTCTGGACCTGGAGTTCTCTGTCATTGTTCAGGTGGTGACAATGTAACAACTTCACCAGCAATACTGCAGTTTAAATATAACATAATAAAACATAACCCTTGACCCGTTAGTGTCATGAAGGTTTATTGATAGAAACACTAACACACAAAACCCGCCATCTTTCTCTGTCTTCTGCTTGATGAATAACTGTATGATAACTTAGTCCTGTCCCTGATGTAATTCTAGTTTCCTTTTTGCTCTCCTCTTCTTCGACTACCCCCGGGCCCAATTGTGGGGAGAAATAGAAGAGACCCACTGCCTCCCTAACAAGCATGTCCTAAGAGAAGACTGATGAGGGATTTCCTTTAAAGTCGAAGTGGATTCAAAGGTCAACATACAAATAAGCCACATCTGTAAAACAGATGTTTACTCAAAGTGCAAGTTGTAGAACAAGACTGAAGTCTAGAGGTAAATGAACTATAAATTTCCACATGAGTTTACAGCTGGTGAACGCGAAGAAGATGGAGAAGAAGAGATTTTAGTGTTTAAAGTAATAACAATAACAAGACACGTTTGCAAAATTATTGTAAATTGTGGTGTAAATTTTGTTTTCAAGCCTAAAAGATCTTTCCAAAACTAGATGTTGATTTATATGGAGAGTATTAAAATGCCAATCTTTATGAGTGCTGGGAATTTGCATACAGTTTTATACCAAATGGATAAATCAAGAGACAAAATAACCACCTGATCATATTTTTGAGAATGGCTGTGAAGAAAACCGTAAGAGATCATGTTAAACAGGAAAAGATTCACAGAAGTATTGGAAAAAATAAAAGACCACTTTCCGACACCTTCAGGCATTTTGGATTTACAGGGCTAGACCTATATTTTATAGACCAGTTGGCTTTCGATAGGTGATTTGTGGTCAACTGCCTTTACTTCCCAGGACTTTACCTGCTATTTGAGGCTGGGTCAACCTGGGAGCCAAGGTCATTTATAAAAAGTCCAGCTCTGTCAAGAGCTGAACCAATAACCTTTGGATCCGCAGTCAAGTATCTAGTCGCTACACCATGGTGGTTCCTATATGGGAACAGTACCCATCATTAAATTTTGCTAACAAACATAGAGAACTGATTTGGCTATCTAGTGAAATTGTGCTTAACAGAACCCACATTGAGAGCGTACAAAATGAAATTGGAAAAACCAAGTGGCAGAGGTAGACCAAGAAGAAAATGGATTGAAGGTGTCACTGACAGCTAAAGACATACAACATACCAATCAACTGAGTGTGCCTAGGCTCGACTATCTGTCATCATTAAACTGTGACACCTAATGGCACAAAGGATTGACAAAGAAATCAGAAGGACAAATCATAAGATAATATGGCAGTAGTAGGTATACTTCTGGGAGCTGAGTTGATAAATATTTTGGAGGGAGAGGATAGAACCGGTGTTCCTTCACAAGCATGATGTAAAAGGCAACTTATCAGGGGTTTGCTTACATTGGGTGTTGTTGGCCTTAGGTGCAGATATTGCAGTCTAGTTTTAAACCACAACACAACTTGCCAACCGCCTTTTTAAGGGAAAATACAGAAGCAGCTCTTAAAAAAAATAAAAAAAGAACCTTTTGGATTAATTTTATTTGAGCGAGCTAATGAAATGACATGAGTCGGCCATCTAGTGAGAATGCAGCCAGACCAAACTGCATATGCGACTCTTTACAACAGAACATCTGGGAGGAAGGTGAGGGAAAGACCATGAAGGATATAGAAAAATGATGAAGCTGAAAGCTGCAAAAAGATGAACAAATCCATCACCCAATTCACCCGAGAAGCGCAAGACAATTACAGAAAACCGTGTCACTGGTGTACAAACTGGTATCAGTGAGACGACAAAACCATGACACTGGGCTACAACCTGGTATTAGTGATATGACAAAACCACGACACGGGGCTACAACCTGGTATCAGTGATATGACAAAACCATGACACTGGGCTACAACCTGGTATCAGTGAGATGACAAAACCATGACACTGGGCTACAACCTGGTATCAGTGAGATGACAAAACCATGACACTGGGCTACAACCTGGTATCAGTGATATGACAAAACCATGACACTGGGCTACAACCTGGTATCAGTGAGAGGAAAAAACCATGACACACTGGGCTACAATCTGGTATCAATGAGAGCCCAAAACCAGGACACTGGGCTACAACCTGGTATCAGCGAGAGGACAAAACCATGACACTGGGCTACAACCTGGTATCAGTGATATGACAAAACCATGACACTGGGCTACAACCTGGTATCAGTGAGACGACAAAACCATGACACTGGGCTACAACCTGGTATCAGTGAGACGACAAAACCATGACACTGGGCTACAACCTGGTATCAGTTATATGACAAAACCATGACACTGGGCTACAACCTGGTATCAGTGAGATGACAAAACCATGACACTGGGCTACAACCTGGTATCAATGAGAGGACAAAACCATGACACTGGGCTACAACCTGGTATCAGTGATATGACAAAACCATGACACAGGGCTACAACCTGGTATCAGTGAGATGACAAAACCATGACACTGGGCTACAACCTGGTATCAGTAAGATGACAAAACCATGACACTGGGCTACAACCTGGTATCAGTTATATGACAAAACCATGACACTGGGCTACAACCTGGTATCAGTGAGATGACAAAACCATGACACTGGGCTACAACCTGGTATCAGTGAGATGACAAAACCATGACACTGGGCTACAACCTGGTATCAGTGATATGACAAAACCTTGACACTGGGCTACAACCTGGTATCAGTGAGATGACAAAACCATGACACTGGGCTACAACCTGGTATCAGTAAGATGACAAAACCATGACACTGGGCTACAACCTGGTATCAGTGAGAGGACAAAACCACGACACACTGGGCTACAACCTGGTATCAGTGATATGACAAAACCATGACACTGGGCTACAACCTGGTATCAGTGATATGACATAACCACGACACGGGGCTACAACCTGGTATCAGTGAGACGACAAAACCATGACACTGGGCTACAACCTGGTATCAGTGAGACAACAAAACCATGACACTGGGCTACAACCTGGTATCAGTGAGACGACAAAACCATGACACTGGGCTACAACCTGGTATCAGTGATATGACAAAACCATGACACTGGGCTACAACCTGGTATCAGTGAGATGACAAAACCATGAGACTGGGCTACAACCTGGTATCAGTAAGATGACAAAACCATGACACTGGGCTACAACCTGGTATCAGTGAGAGGACAAAACCACGACACACTGGGCTACAACCTGGTATCAGTGATATGACAAAACCATGACACTGGGCTACAACCTGGTATCAGTGATATGACAAAACCATGACACTGGGCTACAACCTGGTATCAGTGAGACGACAAAACCATGACACTGAGCTAAAACCTGGTAGTGAGATGACAAAACCATGATACTGGGCTACAACCTGGTATCAGTGAGAGGACAAAACCATGACACTGGGCTACAACCTGGTATCAGTGAGACGACAAAACCATGACACTGGGCTACAACCTGGTATCAGCGAGATGACAAAACCATGACACTGGGCTACAACCTGGTATCAGTGAGATGACAAAACCATGACACTGGGCTACAACCTGGTATCAGTGAGAGGACAAAACCATGACACTGGGCTACAACCTGGTATCAGTGAGAGGAAAAAACCATGACACTGGGCTACAATCTGGTATCAATGAGAGCCCAAAACCATGACACTGGGCTACAATCTGGTATCAATGAGAGGACAAAACCATGACACTGGGCTACAACCTGGTATCAGTGATATGACAAAACCATGACACTGGGCTACAACCTGGTATCAGTGAGACGACAAAACCATGACACTGGGCTACAACCTGGTATCAGTGATATGACAAAACCATGACACTGGGCTACAACCTGGTATCAGTGAGACGACAAAACCATGACACTGGTCTACAACCTGGTATCAGTGAGATGACAAAACCATGACACAGGGCTACAACCTGGTATCAGTGAGATGACAAAACCATCACACTGGGCTATAACCTGGTATCAGTGAGATGACATAACCACGACACTGGGCTACAACCTGGTATCAGTGAGAGGACAAAACCACGACACACTGGGCTACAACCTGGTATCAGTGAGATGACAAAATCATGACACTGGGCTACAACCTGGTATCAGTGATATGACAAAACCATGACACTGGGCTACAACCTGGTATCAGTGAGACGACAAAACCATGACACTGGTCTACAACCTGGTATCAGTGAGATGACAAAACCATGACACAGGGCTACAACCTGGTATCAGTGAGATGACAAAACCATGACACTGGGCTATAACCTGGTATCAGTGAGATGACATAACCACGACACTGGGCTACAACCTGGTATCAGTGAGAGGACAAAACCACGACACACTGGGCTACAACCTGGTATCAGTGAGATGACAAAATCATGACACTGGGCTACAACCTGGTATCAGTGAGATGACAAAAGAAGAGAAGATGGTAATGATGTTTTTGATATTTTTCAGGGTCACACAGATGAATTATGGGGCCTGGCTACTCATCCTTTCCAGCATCAGTTTCTGACCGGAGGCGCGGACAAACAGTTGTTCTTGTGGGATGCCCAGTCCAGAACTGCGGTCTGGAATAAGGAGATGAATGTAGGTCTCATTTATTCCCCTTCTGTTTGTTCCACTAATACAAATTTTTGCTTTTCTGCAAGCCACCATATTAATTCAGTTCTGTCCTGATTTTTGCAAACAAGAAAGCATCGTCATAAACCTGCACTTCCCTGATAAAACAGGCAAGTACTTGTGAGTGAGGTTGATTTGGTTTGTCAGTTAGAAGGGTTCATTTATTTGCTTCGCTGTGTTCCGAGTTGAGTTAAGTTGAGTCAAGAATTGACATTACATCACTCTAGGCATTCCCATGCATGCTCCATCCTCATCTTCAACAGCCAGCACAGAGTACCAGTACTAATGGTACCAGTCATAATCTGGTTATATGTCCATCTTGCCTTTCCTCTGAATGTAGTGAGCCGGCCAGACCCCCTGGTTACACCCAGGTGCCTCATTCTCTCCAGGCCATAATAATAATGTTTCTCTACTGATTCCATTGCTTGTTCCCAAAGGGCCTTGACCACATCTGCCTTGTCATGTATCAGTTCACCACCCAGTGGTGCAGATCCAGCCAGTCTGTTTGCCTGTTCATTACCCACCACGCCGGCATAACCTGGAGAAATGATCCTAAGTATGCTCACTATCTGTGACATTTCCTGTAAAGCTTGCCACTCTGCTCAAAGCATGCCTGTCTTCACTGTGTTCACTTGTTATTGTTTTACGCACCTGACGAGATAAGAATCTGTCTACAGCATTTCACCTCAAAAGTAATTATTTTCTTCCTAAAAACTGTGAGATAGTCTACAATTTACATCAGTGTGTGCTGATCCTGGAAAGATGCGTGCTTTCAATATTGTAACTTTGATTTGCTTACTTAGCCAGTTATAACATTAAAAAAAAAAAGTAAAGGACCCTTTTCTACGCCTTTAGCCAAGGTCATTTTTGAAAAAAGTCTGGCTCCTCCAGGGAGCGAACCCACAACCTTCTGATCCGCGATGAGCGTCTAGCCGCTCTGCCACGGGGACTCCCAGTTATAACATATTGGTTAGGAAATTGAGTAGTGGAATAATAAGCCAACAGGCTAGCATGACCACTTCTAGGCTACTGTGGCTCCTGCTTTGACATATGCTAAGAGTTCATCTTGTTTGCCCCCAGAACACTAAAATAAAAAGGTCAAGACCCTGTTAGAATACCAGAAACAATAATAAAATTGTATAAAGAGGTCACTAATAAATTTGTTTAAAATATATTTGTCTACATTTTAAAATGATTTTTCAAAACATATAAAGATAAATGAAAGGAGTAATCAAGGAACACAAACAAGGTGAAGCATTCAGTGGATTACATTCGCCAGGGCCTGAAAAAACACACTTGTATCTGGTGACTCATGCCATGACCCCGTGACCTCTATCACTGAAGCTTACAGGAAAATATCCCATCAAACGGCTCTTCAAAAAAAAAGCTATTTAGTTTGAAGGAAGACCTTCCTGAATGCTGTTGTTAGGTAATGTATTGATATCTTGACCTCCTAAACCTTTGTGCAGGCGCAAACCCAGCCAGTAGCATTAACTGTGCATCTTGTGAACAGGTCACCACAGACAAGTTGGAAAAGTGACATTTACATGGAATTGAATCCAGCTGGAAGTGTTGATTTTTAAGCTTCTCATGGGGGAAAGTTTAAATGTATTAATGATATCTCTAGTCACAGTTTGAAAGCAAAATTTTTGAAAGTTAAAACTGTTATTATGTGAGAAGCCATTTTTGTTCCTTTTACCCAGGATGCAGTTCATAGCTGCTGTTTCCATCCCAACGGGGGTATCATTGCTGTGGGCACAAATGTTGCTCGCTGGCTTGTGTTGGATCTCTCCACACACGAGATCGTCTCGGTTCACACTGATGGGAATGAGCAGATTGAGTGCATCCAGTACTCACCAGGTGAGTGATGAGTTTATAGCTGATGGTGGAGTTTATACCTGACAGTGGAGTTTATAGCTGACAGTGGAGTTTATACCTGACAGTGGAGTTTATAGCTGACAGTGGAGTTTATAGCTGACTGTGGAGTTTATAGCTGACAGTGGAGTTTATAGCTGACTGTGGAGTTTATACCTGACTGTGGAGTTTATAGCTGACTGTGGAGTTTATAGCTGACAGTGGAGTTTATAGCTGACTGTGGAGTTTATACCTGACTGTGGAGTTTATAGCTGACTGTGGAGTTTATAGCTGACTGAGGAGTTTATAGCTGACAGTGGAGTTTATACCTGACTGTGGAGTTTATGGCTGACTGTGGAGTATATAGCTGACAGTGGAGTTTATACCTGACTGTGGAGTTTATAGCTGACAGTGGAGTTTATAGCTGACACTGGAGTTTATAGCTGACTGTGGAGTTTATAGCTGACAGTGGAGTTTATAGCTGACAGTGGAGTTTATAGCTGACAGTGGAGTTTATAGCTGACTGTGGAGTTTATAGCTGACTGTGGAGTTTATAGCTGACAGTGGAGTATATAGCTGACAGTGGAGTTTATAGCTGACTGTGGAGTTTATAGCTGACTGAGGAGTTTATAGCTGACAGTGGAGTTTATACCTGACTGTGGAGTTTATAGCTGACTGTGGAGTATATAGCTGACAGTGGAGTTTATACCTGACTGTGGAGTTTATAGCTGACAGTGGAGTTTATAGCTGACTGTGGAGTTTATAGCTGACTGTGGAGTTTATAGCTGACTGTGGAGTATTTGGCTGACAGTGGAGTTTATAGCTGACTGTGGAGTTTATAGCTGACTGTGGAGTTTATAGCTGACTGTGGAGTTAATAGCTGACTGAGGAGTTTATAGCTGACAGTGAAGTTTATAGCTGACTGTGGAGTTTATAGCTGACTGTGGAGTTTATAGCTGACTGTGGAGTTTATAACTGACTGTGGAGTTTATAGCTGACTGTGGAGTTTATAGCTGACTGTGGAGTTTATAGCTGACTGTGGAGTTTATAGCTGACAGTGGAGTTTATAGCTGACAGTGGAGTTTATAGCTGACACTGGAGTTTATAGCTGACACTGGAGTTTATAGCTGACAGTGGAGTTTATAGCTGACAGTAAGTTTATAGCTGACTAAGGAGTTTATAGCTGACAGTGGAGTTTATAGCTGACAGTGGAGTTTATAGCTGACAGGGAGTTTATAGCTGACTGTGGAGTTTATAGCTGACTGTGGAGTTTATAGCTGACAGTGGAGTTTATAGCTGACAGGGAGTTTATAGCTGACTGTGGAGTTTATAGCTGACTGAGGAGTTTATAGCTGACACTGGAGTTTATAGCTGACTGAGGAGTTTATAGCTGACTGTGGAGTTTATAGCTGACTGTGGAGTTTATAGCTGACTGTGGAGTTTATAGCTGACACTGGAGTTTGTAGCTGACTGAGGAGTTTATAGCTGACAGGGAGTTTATAGCTGACACTGGAGTTTATAGCTGACAGTGGAGTTTATAGCTGACAGTGGAGTTTATAGCTGACAGTGGAGTTTATAGCTGACAGTGGAGTTTATAGCTGACTGAGGAGTTTATAGCTGACAGTGGAGTTTATAGCTGACTGTGGAGTTTATAGCTGACTGAGGAGTTTATAGCTGACTGAGGAGTTTATAGCTGATTGAGGAGTTTATAGCTGACAGTGAAGTTTATAGCTGACTGTGGAGTTTATAGCTGACAGGGAGTTTATAGCTGACTGAGGAGTTTATAGCTGACAGTGGAGTTTATAGCTGACAGTGGAGTTTATAGCTGACTGTGGAGTTTATAGCTGACAGGGATTTTATAGCTGACTGGGGAGTTTATAGCTGACAGTGGAGTTTATAGCTGACTGAGGAGTTTATTGCTGACAGTTTTATAATGCTTTCTTAATCTGTACATCTTGAAATATCTTGTTATCTGCATATTTTTTTTTTTTTAGGTCATTAGTACATTTTAAAATACAATGCTATCAATAAATTTGATTATATAACGTAATACAGTACAGTATAATTTAATTTAATCAGTACTTCCCATACTTCCAGGGCCCCATTTTAGTGGGAAAAAGAATAGATCTACTGCCCTCCCCCCCCCCCCCCTTGCCCTTTTTTTAGCAAGCATGTCTTAAAAGGCGACTACCCAAGAGCTTGCTGACATCAAATATGTTGAGTCAAAAGGTGCAGATATTGTATCCTAGACCCCATCCAGGGCAAACATGAGGGCTTTTCAGTCCTCGAGGGAAGGCAGGGGCAGATCATGGACATTCCTCGCCATCGAAGGAAGCTTCCATAAATGCAGAGCCGACAAATGATGCACTGGTCCTGGGCTCACCCAAAGAATCATTACGTCCAACATATGACATATATATGTTGGAGATCAACAGAGAGTTAATATAACATAACTTGTACATCTTATAACATATTGTAATTTAGTCAATACACATTATTTCTTTGCAGATGGTTCGATGGTAGCCATCGGATCCCGTGACAACTACATCTACATCTATAATGTTTCTGACGACGGCTGTAAATATTCAAAAGTTGGCAGATGTTCAGTGAGTGCTGATCTTTGATATTTGTTTAGTTTCCCTTGACATCATGTACGTGTGTATGTGTCTATGTGTGATTTAGCTCAGTATCTGTGAGTTTCCTTTAGTTTGTGCCTAAATAAAAGTGATAGCGGTGAGAATACATTGGCCAGTAAACTTACAAGCTTGTGCAGTGGCCAGGTTTTCAAATTCCCAAAGCAGAGGTTCTTCATTTGACCTAGGCTTCCATATTGCTCTCGCTCCAGTCTCAAAATTGATACCAAGATACATTCTTCTTCTTCAGTGTTTACTGGCTATAACACTCCAGGGGAAAGTTCTGGGTGTTCGTCCACTTCTGGGCTTTAGTCATGATCGATTTTTTTATATATTTTCTTATCTGGCCTTTTTTTGTGTGCAGACTGTTGGTGCCTTGCATCTCAGACCGGTGCACTGCAACTTTGAAGGAAACCCTCTAATTAATTGGCTTTGAGGGAGGCAGTGGGTTTATTCCTTTTTTTTTCTTACATTAGAGCCCTGGAACCTACATGGGTATTTTCAAGGGGTTTTATGATCCCAGTTGCAATAAAAATTAGAAATCATAGTGCATGTTTTGACTGAACATCTTTATTGTGTTTTAGGGTCATTCCAGTTTCATCACCCATGTTGATTGGTCTGAAGATGGGCAGTACCTGGCCAGCAATTCTGGGGATTATGAGCTTCTCTATTGTAAGTTATCAAGTGTTGGGTGTAAGCAGTTGTTGGATGTAAGTTGTTGTTGAATATAAGTTGTCAAGTGTTGGATGTGAGTGGTTGTTGAATATAAGTTGTCAAGTGTTGGATGTGAGTTGTTGAATATAAGTTGTCAAGTGTTGGATGTGAGTGATTGTTGAATATAAGTTGTCAAGTGTTGGATGTGAGTGATTGTTGAATATAAGTTGTCAAATGTTCGATGTGAGTGGTTTTTGAGTGTAAAGTGTCAAATGTTAGATGTGACTGATTATTGAATATAAGTTACCAAGTGGTGGATGTAAATAGTTGAGTGTAAGTTGTGAAGAGTTGGATGTAAGTGATTGTTGAGTGTAAGGTATCAAATGTTGGATGTGACTGATTGTTGAATATAAGTTGTCAAGTGGTGGATGTAAATAGTTGTTGAGTGTAAGTTGTGAAGAGTTGGATGTAAGTGGTTGTTGAGTGTAAGTGATTGTTGTGTGTAAGTGGTTGAATAGCAACCTGTTGAATGTAAGTAGTTGATCGTATAAAATATTGTTTGTGAGTGGTTGATCTTTTTAAATGTTGGATGTAAGTGGTTGATTGGTAAAGTGTTGCATGCAAGGGCTTATTCTTATTAAGTGTTTCATGTAAGTGGCTGGCTCGGTAGGTGCAGGAAAAACAATGAACCGGGCCCATGTTCTCAGTGCTATCAAGGAATCAGATGAGTAGATGATTTAGGAGATGACTGGGAATCGACAGAATTTACAGTTTTACAAGAACTTCAGGTCCAAAGGAGGTATTGCCAGTCATGAATACTACACAGGCAGCCAAAGAAGAATAGTAAACCAACACAGAGTGGTGTCATCAGTTGCCACACACTGAGGAACATATTAAAGATGGGATGTGAACATACTAAAGATGGGATGTGAGCATACTAAAGATGGGATGTGAACATACTAAAGATGGGTTGTGAACATACTAAAGATGGGATGTGAACATACTAAAGATGGGATGTGAACATACTAAAGATGGGATGTGAACATACTAAAGATGGGATGTGAACATACTAAAGATGGGTTGTGAACATACTAAAGATGGGATGTGAACATACTAAAGATGGGATGTGAACATACTAAAGATGGGATGTGAACATACTAAAGATGGGATGTGAACATACTAAAGATGGGATGTGAACATACTAAAGATGGGATGTGAACATACTAAAGATGGGATGTGAACATACTAAAGATGGGATGTGAACATACTAAAGATGGGATGTGAACATACTAAAGATGGGATGTGAACATACTAAAGATGGGATGTGAACATACTAAAGATGGGATGTGAACATACTAAAGATGGGATGTGAACAATTATGGACTTGTTTAATGAGGATGATCTGTTGGTTAACTAATTAAATAATTATTTAAGTTGTTGATCTTATTATAATTTTGTAAAGCTGACATAAATATTTGTGTTTTTTCTTACCTCCTTCTCTTCTATTCTCTGTAATTTCCTACTCTTTTTAAAACTTGATCTTATAAAAGGTTAAGTGTAAAAAGTTGATTTGTAAAATGTTTAATGAAAATAATCAGGTGTAGCCGAGATATTACGCACAGTACACTGTATTACAGAAGCCATGTTAACGCAGTGGCAAGTGAACTCACCTGCTGACCTGATGGTCATGAGTTCAAACCCCTCTAAAGACAGAATTATTTAATATGACATGGCTCCAGAGTTCAAAAAAATTGCCAGACTGTCCTTGAATTATGTGAAAGTCTCTCTGTTTAATCTCACTGATTATTTTTTAAAAATATTTAGAACTCTGTCTGTTTCACCAGGGACTGCGGCCAGCTGCAAGATGTTGACCAACCAGACAGTGACTAGGGATATCAAATGGGCAACCCAAAACAATATCCTGGGATTTAATACTGCAGGTAGGAGTTCTTTAACTGTGCGGACAAGATAACAACTTGTTTGGATGCTTTTCAATAGTTACCTGTTTGTTCCTATGTCTTTGAAAACTTCTTAATCTGGTCTGTATTCTGCCTGGCTTTAGGAAACTGAGTGATATAGAAGTATTAGTTGTTGGCACCTTTCCATCTTTCCAGAGGATAGTATTGTCTTGTGCTTTGGGAAGGCACGGGACTCACAGCTCATGGCTATGGCGAGTGTGACTAGCAAGATCTGCTCATGTTAGGAAATGTCTTCCACAAATTGAAGCATAGGATTTCATGATCGTTCTCGCCGTCACATGTATTTACTCTGTTTCTTCTTAGGTGCTCAGCTCTTCTTCTTTCTGCAATCATTTCTTTTTTTTATTTCCATTCCCTTCCTGATTTCCCTGCTCCGAGCACCACAGTCCATGGTTTTACATTCCGATTATAATGAGCAGACCTGCATCATTGTTCTTTTTTCAGCATTCTGGGCTCCTGAGGTTCATTGCTGCAGAAATCACCCGCTCCCATTCACCTCTGTGATTGGTCGGCTCTTGCCAGTTGGTGACAGCCAGTGCTTGCAAACCTGCTACATTATTTGGGGTATAAGGTCAAGTAAGGGACCTGCGTAGATGCTTTGAAGCTCATTAGGTATATGATGCTAGCTGCAAAGTTGTGTAGGTCAGTTGATAAGGACAGAAAATAAAAGGGGGGAAACCAAAAACATGCATATGGCTCAGTAACTGATAAATAATAGGAGGATGTTCAGATACAAGAAATCATAATACCCTCAACAGGACCAAAACCCAGACCTGAATAAGCGAAAAAGGAAAACAAGAAACGGATAGGGACACAAACCTAATTTAAGCCAAAATCTGTTGGCAAAAAGACACAAAGTCATAATTTTAACCTACAGCTTCTTTTTCGGAAAGATCTAATTGAATGAGACAATTTTTTTTTTTTTTTCAAAACAAAGCAGAGATCAATTGGTACACAGTGGACGTTGTGGCAAATGTCATGTCAGCCATCTTGAAGAACATTTCCTGTTGCCCATGTGTAAGGCTGGATTTAACTGAGAGCTTGTTAGTTTCTTTACAATCAGTTCTTATTCTTCTCATAGTCTATGCCAAGGGGTGTTAGTTGTCATGTCTATCAACAACCTTCTGTCATGTGTACTTTCAGTCAAATCTGACACAGATGATCGTCCATGCTACGATGTCAGACTGTCTCTAGTATCTTCTCTCTCCACCTCCCTCTGCCTCTTTCCCCTCCTGCTTTGCCTCCATCATGATGTATGCCAGTTTTCTCCTTCGCATAAAATGACCCAAGAATGTAGATTGTCTCCTCATGACATGACCAAAGAATGTAGAATGTCTCTTTTTACATCTGGCTCATCTGATTTGATTTGATTTGATTCAAGAACCAACATCACAGTACTCGGGGCATTCCCATAAGCGTTCCGTCCCCATCTTCAGCAGCCAGCAAAGAGTTCCGATACTAATGGTGCCAGTAGCATTCTGTTTAAACGTCCGTCTTGCCTTTCCTCTGAGCCTCAAGCATCTGCCAGAACCTCGCGTCAATCCCAGCTGCATCAATCTCACCAGACTGTGGTGATCCATCTGCTCCTCCGAACTGTACACGCTCTCCCACAAGGCACTAACCACGTCTGCCTTATCATGTATCAGTATTCCACCAAGTTGTGCAGAGCCAGCCAGCCTGTTCATTTCCCAACACACCGGCGTGCCCTGGTGAAAAAGACAGACAGTACTCCTCACCCGTGTCCTCCGCAGCGAAGCATGCCACTCTGCACGAAGCATACCTGTTCTGATCTTCCTCAGCATGCTTTCTGAATCAGTTACAATCACAATGTGTGTGTGTGTCGTGTTCTCTAGCCAGCGGAAAGCTGCAGTGACCGCCTCCATCTCCATTCTTAAGCTGGATGTTGTGGTATCATATGCTAGGCTCTCCTGCACCAAACGTTGACCATTAACTTTTGCTAAGAAGCCCCAAGCACTTCTTTTGCCTCTTGATACTGAACCGTCTGTGTAAATGATTAAATCCTCTGAGCGAGCTGGCTCATCTGAGTAAAGATTCAACATCACAGCATTCAGGACACACCCATATTAGCTCCGGTACAGCAGTCAGGTATATTTGAAAAAATATCATGTGTAGTTGTGATCATTAGTCTGGTGAATCTTAGTTCTCCTGTCTTGTGAAAGAAGAAAAATGTGTGTCTTGCAGGCATATGGCCAGAAGGTGCAGATGGCACCGACATAAATGGCTGCTGCAAATCTCACAACGAGAGAATGATTGCAACATGCGATGACTTTGGGAAAGTCAATTTGTTTGCTTATCCAGCAAATCGTCCCAAGGTGAGAAAATGTTTTAGTATTCCTAATCCTCCATTTTACACGATGTAGGTTATATAATCTTGCTCTCTATATATATATATATATATATATATATATATATATATATATATCATTCACATCTTTTCATTGACTGTTTCATGTGATTTTTACAACTTTTCATTGCCTATTTCTTTTAATATTTACAGCTTTCGTTAAATATTTATGTTAATATTTGCACCTTTTCCTTGACTGTTTCATTTAATATTTACAACTTTTCACTGATAGTTTAATTCACTATATAAGCTTTTCATTTAGTGACTACTAAATTTGGTCAACATCATAAAATTAAAATGTTATAGATAAATATTTTCATCACATTAAACAAACATGCATGAACCAGAATTGTATTCACATACAAGTCTCTTAGATCATCCATTCTGACTAAATGCTTTTTTGGGGGGCCCAAATTACCTGTATTTATTGTTCCCCAGAGCGCTTTCCATAGCTACAAAGGCCACAGCAGTCATGTGACATCAGTGAGCTTCCTGTTTGATGACTCTCGTCTGATCTCTACCGGAGGAAAGGACGCTGCGGTCATGCAGTGGCAGGTTGTGTAACTGCCGAAATTCAGCAGACAAGGGAGATTAGTCATTCTGAGTTTTTCTCTCAGTGCATGCTGGAATGAGGAAGAGACTAATATACTTTTGATATTTTTTATTGTAATTTACAATTCTAACATAATCTTCGGTCTGCAGTTTTGAATTTACGACCACAAAAGTGAAGCCTATGTTTGTTAGACTAGACAAAATCTCCTGTCTCCAGCTTGTTCATGGGAGATCTTTTCTTTTCCAATCAAAGGAATTTTTTCATTGAACTAGACTCTTCACAAGATCTCCTCTCTTCATGTACATTTCTCCTCTTATCCAAAAGGAGATCTTATCATACCAATCTGAAGTGCCCATAGAAATTTTAAAATGTGTTGCAGGTATCCTTTACTCCGGTGAGATCTTCTCTCCAGTCTATGTCCTCTCCAGAGTCTGTGTCCTCTCCAGTCTGTGTCCTCTCCAGTCTGTGTCCTCTCCAGTCTGTGTCCTCTCCAGTCTGTGTCCTCTCCAGTCTATGTCCTCTCCAGAGTCTGTGTCCTCTCCAGTCTATGTCCTCTCCAGTCTATGTCCTCTCCAGAGTCTGTGTCCTCTCCAGTCTATGTCCTCTCCAGTCTGTATTCTCTCCAGTCTGTGTCCTCTCCAGTCTATGTCCTCTCCAGTCTGTGTCCTCTCCAGTCTGTATCCTCTCCACTCTATGTCTTCTCCAGTCTGTGTCCTCTCCAGTCTATGTCCTCTCCAGTCTGTCCTCTCCAGTCTATGTCCTCTCCAGTCTGTGTCCTCTCCAGTCTGTGTCCTCTCCAGTCTGTGTCCTCTCCAGTCTGTATCCTCTCCACTCTGTCTTCTCCAGTCTATGTCCTCTCCAGTCTATGTCCTCTCCTGTCTGTGTCCTCTCCATTGTATGTCCTCTCCAGTCTACCTCCTCTCTTCTGCTATGTCCATAAAGGGGATTTCTACTGACCTTGGTAAGATCGCTGATAAAATGTTTACTTAGGTCATATCGCCCTGTAACTAAAGTAATATCTCATCCAGTATTTGAAATGTATCCATTAACCGACAAGATCTCCCCATCATGGGCTGTCTTTTTTTTTTTTTTTTTTTAAATAATCAAAGTTGTGACACCCTAATCAAGATTAGATCTTCTCAGATCAGGATGAGGTCTCATCAGATTAAAGTTTTTCTGATCATGGCCAAGCTAGTTAGAGCAGCTTGAAGATAGTAGTTGTGCACAGTATCTAGAGGAGTTAGTCAACAGATCATCCCCATTGCACATCAGATCATTCAATCCTTAAGTGTTCATTACGTCCTTAGCTCTTTCTGATATCAGAGGACATTTAAATGATTTATAAACCAAGATGTTCCTGGGTACCCAAAGAGTTAACCTGTTAGAGCTGATGGCATCTGTTCTGTGTTGGTTTAATATTCTTTGGCCTCATCCATAGAGCTGTTATCTGGCTTCACCTCATTTGACCTAATTCTTGTGGTCTGGTCAAAGTTGTAGATTTCTGCTTATCATTTGATTGATTGAATCACCCTGCCTCTCTGATTTGATTGATTGAATCACCCTACCTCTCTGATTTGATTGATTGAATCACCCTACCTCTCTGATTTGATTGATTGAATCACCCTACCTCTCTGATTTAATTGATTGAATCACCCTACCTCTCTGATTTGATTGATTGAATCACTCTACCTCTCTGATTTGATTGATTGAATCTCCCTACATCTCTGAGGACATTCTGCCCATTTCATTGCTCATCCACCCTCAAAAGAATTCCCAAATTTTAAAGCCTGAGCATCTACCTCCACAGCTACAGGTTTTTTTTTTTGTCTGCATTTTCTGTCTGTTGAGTTGAGTACCGATATCACAGCACTTGGGATTTCCCATCAGCTCTCCATCCATATCTTCAGCAGACAATGCAGGGTTTCAATTCCAGTGATATCAGTAATTGTATGGTTGTAAATCTGTATTGCTTTTTTCTCTGAATGCTGAGCATTGGCCAGATCCCCTGCACCAGTGTTTCCAAAATATTTGGGCTCATGCAGGGGATCTGGCCAATGCTCTGCATTCAGAGAAAAAGCAATACAGATTTACAACCATACAGACACTGCCTCTGGTGGTACCCCTTAGCTAATTTGTTTCCTCTTCTTTTTATCCTTCACTGGCCATAAACCCTGGTAGAAAGTTCTGGTTGTTCATCCACTTCTGAACTTTGATCTTGTTCCAGAACTTGAGTTTTGCATGCACATCCGTTTTACAGATCTGGCTTATTTGTATGCAGAATGTTGGTTCCTAGCCTGGCTTTGAAGGAAACACTGCTAACTAGTTGCCTTGTGGGACATGTTTGTAGGGGGGGGGGGGGGTGTTGCATGTGTATGTGTGTGTGTGTATAGGGAAAGGGGGTGGGTGGCAAATAGGGTACCAAAACCATCATTTGGAATTTTTCTTTTTGATCTTTAATTTCAATCAGTTTTTATTAATTTTCCCAGAGTGGCTGTGGAGCCCCTGGGAAGCGCAGGCCCAGCTTGGGAACCGCTGTCCTAGTCAATTCTGAGGCAACTGAACATAAAATTTGCCACCTGTTCCCACTCTTCATCAGGCTATATGACCTCAAGTGAACGAACACACCTGTTGTATAATCTCCTTGGCCTAACCCACCCAAGACTTGTCTTTTTTTTTTTCTTAACCTGCTGCCATTTTGTCCTTGATCTTATGTGCAGTGGATTGATGTTGTCTGTCTATGTTGACTAGAAGCAGTAACCAGGATCCTGAACTCTGTATCATAATTCACACCTATATTTTAATGTAGGTCGGTTCTTGACAACCTCATACAGTATTTCATGGAAGGAAATTGGTTGATGAAAAATTCGTTTACATTCCTCACCATATGCCAGTTAGGACTGCTGCCAACAGAGAGATCTAACAGACCAATCCTGAACCTTCAGTGTAAATGATATATATACAAGGGGTATTCAGAAATAAATGTACCACATTGGTTTTCTTAGGAGTTATTTATTCAAAAAGCATGAAATGTATACATAATATGCATGGGTATGTCCTGTCAACATCTGTATTATTTAATGTCATCCCTAACCACTTGTTTGGCTTTATACCAGTGTGAAACAAGTGCATGTAGGCCACATGTAGGCTCATGCCAGATTTTGTTCTCTTGGTCATGTAGCCATTTTTTTGCTGCATAAATCATTCCTTCATCATCTTCAAATTCTGTCCAATGGAGCACATCCTTAAGTGGACCAAATATTTGAAAATCAGAGGGTGCCAAATGTGGACTGTTATTAGCTGAGGAAAAACAATGTGGGGCATTACTTTCTGGACACTCCTAGTACATTTCTTATGTCTTGTTTATGATAGAAAAATGAACATTTTGTTGTTTTAAATATTGGTGATAAAAATAATTTTGGCTTTTTTTCTGTTAGCTATTTTATCCATTAAACTATGTTTATGGAAGTATTTCTCCTTTATAAATTGTACTGAAATAATTTTGTTGTAGACATTTGACAAGCTTTGCAAGATTATCTGCATCCTCATTACCTGGAATGTTGTAGGTTCAGATTTCCATTGAATCTTGTGTTTGATACAACTGTTCCTCAGATGTAAGGCACGGACTTGTTCTGTAGCAGACCAGCCTGGCGATGTAACATTCAGAAGTGCGATCACAAAAAAAAATAAGTCGTATGAAATCTTTGACGGCAATTGATTATATTTCTAATACCTAGCATTTAAAATTGTTTGGTTGTTTTGTTTTGTTGCTTTTGTTTGAATATGCCTGCAATATACTTTTCTTTGACTAGTCACTTTGTTGAATATGAATACTTGGATGACATTTACGTACATCTACAGGAGTTATACGCTGATTACCACATACTTGAGCTTTTATACAATTTACTTTTTTGTGTGATTATAGCTTCAATTTTTGATGATAATTACTGAAGTATTTATTCATCCTTTATCTGATTGTTCTAAATGTATTGTGTTTTATTTAAACAAAGTTGCCTCATAATTCACTCATGATTATTGTTTCTCTGTCAGTTATGTCACAATTATTTCTAATGTGAATGTTTCCTCTAACATGAACCTGTATTTTTGTGTTTGTATTTTGACCATGATCACAGTTGTTGTTGTCTCACTGTTCATTGGCTATCAACTGCAGTGGAAAGTTCTTTCATTGGCTATCAACTGCAGTGGAAAGTTCTTTCATTGGCTATCAACTGCAGTGGAAAGTTCTTTCATTGGCTATCAACTGCAGTGGAAAGTTCTTTCATTGGCTGTCAACTGCAGTGGAAAGTTCTTTCATTGGCTATCAACTGCAGTGGAAAGTTCTTTCATTGGCTATCAACTGCAGTGGAAAGTTCTTTCATTGGCTATCAACTGCAGTGGAAAGTTCTGGTTGTTGACCACTTCTAGACTTTGGTCTTGTTCTAGAACCGGAAGTTTTGCAATTGTTTTACAGATCTGGCTTATTTGTATGCAGACTATTGGTTCCTTGCCTCTCAGGCACAGGCACTCTGATTTCAAATGAAAGACTCATAATCAATTAGTCGTTTTTTACAACACGCTCATTGTTTTGGGGGAAGGGGAGGTGAGTAGATCTATTCCTCCCCCCCCTACCACAATGAGGCCCCTGAAGGGGAGATCACAGGTCCTCATCCTTTGATGTTTGAAATTCCATTTATCTTTACATGACTCCTTGTTTTCACTACAGGGTGTCCAATACATTTCCATATGTAGGGAGGAAAAAAAACATATCGCCATCACCATTACGAGCCCAACCCTAGCTGTGCTTATACGTGTTCTTCAGCAGTGGAAAACACACAGTGATCTGTGTTTTCCTACATATGGACAACTTGTACGTCATATTTAACCATTTGAAGGTGTAATTCTGGCAGCCGTGTAGTGCAGTGATTAGCATGTTCGCTCTTCAGCCCACAGGTCATAGGTTGAAATCCAGAATACGGCAGACTATTTAGACCTGAGCTGTAAGATTGGTCCAGTC